GCCTTTTTGCCTTAATTTCCAATTTTGTTGACAAGGTAAAATAATCGAACAAATGTTTTATTTGTCAAGTTATGGTCTCTGTGGTGGTGTTACTGAGTTTTTGTTTCTGAAAAACAGTAAGCAAAATGAAAAATCGCATCCTATTTATAGATCAGTATATAGCCCTTGGTTAGTAATGAATGCATGTATACAAGTTTTGGTCAAATATATCTTCAACTTTTTTAGTAACAGATTTGGTTCTTCTTTTATTTGATTTTGAATTAGCTTTTCATTTTCACTGTAACCAAAATATAATTGTTTTAATCAAATTAAATTATAGTTTGATCTTTTAAGCTTATTTTTGTATATCGTTGGAGTAATTCAGTTTATCCGAATAAACACAATTACGATTTTTGAAAAGAATTTATAGCGAAAATATCTTTTTTCTTTTTCGTAATAATATGGGATGTATAACTAAAAAGCATGCTCCTCCTCCTTTTATGGGAGATGTGAAAAGCATGAATGGAAATAATACACAAGATCATATAATAGTATACGACAAGAATTATAAAGTAGCTCTCTTTTTTTATACTTTATGAATGTTGTCGAAATCATCGATATGTTATGTTCACTGTTATATATGAGTGTACAACTCTGGTCCATTGCTTTACTGTGTGTAATATGATCCTTTATTTTCTCGAAACATCATCATTTTTCGTCTATTCTTAAATTAAAATTACTACTAAATAATTATTTGCTTCAAAAACTCAAATAGATTAGTATTTAAATGGGGTGTTCTTAATTTATTTTGCAAAAAAAAAAAAGAGTAGCATTTGATATTCTCCAATAATGTCTTTATGAGAAGGGAAATTAGCAAGAATAACACACACAACAATTATAATTTGAAACTAACTATTTTCTACCTTTTTTTTCTCTCTATCTCTCTCTAACCATTTAGTTAGTTTTTATATTATAATTTTTTTTGGTTATTCCACAAATTGACCCTGTGAGAATTGTTCTAAGACACCACCAAACAAAAGAAGAAAATAAATTTCAAAATACAAATACTTTATAAAAAAATTCAAAAAGACCACCAGTTAGGTTACAGTATGACAAAGTTCGAGAAAATAAGTTTGCGAAGAATTGATTGTAATCTAACAATAGCACACTTAATTTTTCACATAATCGTTTTTTTTTTTTTACCAACATTAATTTTTTAATCATACTTGCGATTAATGA